CAGTCTTATTTTAAACAAAGCTGTCCGTTTTATGCATCTTCTCTTTTGAACGTCCGCTCCCTCAGCGGCTACTCTCCCAGATCCAAGCGAAAAACCTTCGCCAAATGCCTCGCCACACCATCCTCAGAGTTCGCACCGATCCTCTCCAGGTGTGGAGGTGCCATCTTCAACAAATCATGCTGTGCATTTTTCATCACGCAGCCCTTCTCCGCCATAGAGAGCATTTCAAGATCGTTCATGCCGTCGCCAAATGCGATGCAGTGCTTGATTGTCGATGCGGCATTCTCCCCATTGATGCTTTTTCGGGTGCCACCTAGCAGCATTCCCACGACTTCGCGTAGTGCAACACCCTTGTTCACCCCCTTGCGCATAACCTCCAGGCAATTTGGCAGGGTGAAAGCCATGGACACCTTCTCTCCGTAGGCGGCGTTGATTTTGGCCGACAACATCTCCAGACATTCCCGACGATCGGAGGTGTAATACACCTTGTAAACACCGTCGTAGTCCTGTGTGGCGGGATCAAAGAGTTGGTAGTAGAACACGTGCCTGTTGGAGCGGTAGTACTCAGTAAGGTCCTTGGCGTGCTTGTTCATAAGCCACGAGTCGAGGCGGTAGACGCTCGTCGCAATCTCCGCATCATTGGCAGCCACAAGAGCCAGCTCTCTCGCAACTGCAGGATCCATGTCTTTCTTCAAGATGAGACGATCCTGCGGGTCATGCACACGCGCCCCGTTTGAGGTGATCACATACCCCTTTAGCCCCAGCTTTCTCCTTGTCTCCAGGACATCGCCGTGGTGACGGCCCGTCGCGAATATCACGGGCACACCCTGCTCCGCCAAAGCCTCGATCACACGCAGGGTATACTCTGAGACAAGGTGATCCGGATTCAGTAGTGTGCCGTCAAGATCCGTGGCGACCACCTTATACGGCAAGGAGGAAGAGTACATGATAGCGCAGTCCCCACTGTTAAACTTGGCCGTTTATATAGTGCGCATTGATACACGTTGGAGAGAAAAATACGAGTGGATGGATCGCCACCGGGGTGTACCCAATACACCGCATCCATATGAAAAAAAAAAGAAAAAAAAGCAAGATACAATAGGGGGTGCTCAACAAGAAACCCATGGCAAATTCCCATCACCACAACTACCAACAGTGAACTTCCATCTCGCGTTCATTTCGTTCTTCTTCTCGCGGAGGGGGCAAAGAGGAAAGGAGGGAGGGGCGAATCTTATTTTCTCCTTGCCCAGCCTCTACCGTAAAATGTAAGAGCAAAACGTGAAAAAAGAAAACAAAAAAAAGTTGGAACTCACTGAGAGGGCATGGGCAGACACCACTCAGCATGCACGAAGTACGTTTTGGAGTCGTTCCACATCCACACTTCTCCACATGCGCCTCTCCTCTGACAATGAGAAGGGAGGCAAATTGGATCCCCGTGCTTCGGGCACATACATGGAATTTAGCCATTTTTCCAGAGGCAGCATAGCACACTCCTCTTCCTCTCCTCTCCAGGGTTTTAGCAGCGCCATAACTCCTTCCCGATAAGCCTCCCCAAGAAAAGCCACTGCCTGTTCAATCACGTCATCAATGCGAACCATGAGCGGAGCCACCACGTCGTTACTGACGCTCGTTTGGAACGACTCACGCAGGGTTTTGCGTGCGTCGTAGAGGCGATCCAACACATGCTGCGTCTTCCGATTATGAAAAAAACATTCAAGCCTAAATTCTTCTTCCAGAGATACAACCGGCATATCAGGGGTCGCCAAACTGGACGGAGTTCTTGTATTATTAAGCGTAGGCGACGTACAAGATGCAACGCGTACAGGAGAGGGTTTGCCTCCTAAGCGAATACTATCTCGCGGTTTCACAACCAGCGCGACATTCGCCGGGTCGGAGGACTTGCGAATGAGGGGCTCTGCCAAAGATGAAGCGCAGGCAGATTTTTCCGGCTCTGGACGCACCGAAAAATGAGTGATGGAAAGGGAACAAGCGCCACTGACTGACGTTGGCCGTTGTGGTGGAGCCACTTCGCACCCCGGCGTTTCACACACCAGGGGAGATTCATCCATAGTGGCAAGCAACAAGTGGCTGTTCATGCTAATGTTGGCTCTCAGTGGTGTCGCCATTCTGAGAGCCACATGCGGCCTCAGAAAGCTCAGCAGCCTCCCAAAATAAATTGTCTCCAAGTTGCATATACCGCAGATGGTTGCGAAGGTCACACTCTCTGTAAGAGTGCGGGAAACCGCGTGGATGCCCAGGAGACGCAACCCGCGAAAAAATGCTCGCCACGAGCATCGCCCAGTCATCATCTCTGAAATAGAAACAGTGTCCCATTCCCCGTTTATCGTGACAATATCCACTGAAGGTTCTACCCAGGTATTTTCGCTACCATCCGCGTCGCATTTAGGAAGGATGAAACATTCATATACTTTTTGGATGCAGTGCCGGTTGCGATGTAACCGATGCCGCAGCTCAGCCAGCCCGGCAGCAACAGACGCGGGAATGCGACGCCCTCGTGGTGCATCAGGTGTAGAAGCGGACACTGAGAGGGATGCTGCAGCCGAGAAGGAGAGCCTCTCCAGATCAAGGGTTTGTTTGAATAGGATCGACACATCCGTCGTCGCCTGTTTCCGATGCTGTAATTGATGTGTAATTTTTAACACCAATGGGAGGCTGATGCCTGTGTCACGAAGCAGCAGAAACTGAATGTTGGGGTTTTCCAGCACCATGCTCAAAATCCATCGTCCGACGTTGTCGTTCAGAGGATTTCCAGAGAGGTCTATCCACATCAAGGAGGGGTGCGCCTGCAGCATAAGAAGCAGTGGCCACGCCGCTTCCTCTGTCAAACCAACGGAGGGCATCACTAAGTGTGTCATGGAGGTACAGACGCCAATGACAGGGACAAGCGCAGCACAGCCGCCACGTCCCAGGTAGGCAAGCGAGAAATCAAGCACCTTCACCTCCGTGACCCAATCGGCACCAAGGCTAGGGGGAAGTTGCCGCAGCACGTCTGCGTTGGGACGCACATGGTGCTGCCCACAACTGTATGCATATATTTCTCGTAGACTCTGCCGCTCCCCCTCGACGGGCACGTTTGGCGCCCCACGCAACTCCTCCAACAGAAGTGCAGAAACCGGCCGAACGCAATCACGCAGCATGTCAGAGAAAGCCTCCACCACGGGATCCGCAGGCGCCGACGTGTTGTGCATGGCTACTCTACCAGAGAGATTTGTACTTTTGTGTGTGTGTGTGTGTGTGTGTGCTTTTCTCCCCCCCCCTTTCTTTTGTTGCTATTGCTATTTGCCCGCCGGTCCACGGAGCTGTTCGCGACATGTGGGAAAATAAATATATATATAGATATAGATAGAGGGAGCGAAATCGTGAGTGAGTGTGTGTAATTGCAAGCCAGTGCCTCTCCCTTTCCCCTTCAATGGTGCAGCGTGGACCGAGGTTCGTTCGCCTCCTCCTGTGTTGCTCGTGTGAACACCGACTCGCCCACACAGGCGCCCCCTTCCCCACCCTCATATCGCAACCTTGGAAAACATATTATAGTGGTCCAGCTGGGCATACCACCATGCTTGCCAGGACGCAATCACCTCCTCCTCAACACCGAGCAGGCGCATTACAGAGCCCACGTTTTCGCCAAGGTACTCACGCCGCATCCACGCCGGTATCACCAAAGGGTCCTGCGTGGAATCTTGCCGCGCTTCTTGGGACGCAACGTACGCTGGATGTGCAAATCGATCCACCCAACGGACATCTTGCATGGTGTACGTCGGAGTCGCCACATTTTGGTTAAGAAGAAGAAACCTCATGAGGACGGAGTTCTCGGAAACGGCACTGTTATCCGCATCCTTTGCCGGCTGATGCTCCGAGGCGAGAGCCCAGAAAACGTTCCCCAGACACATGGATAGAAACACGTACAAGGCAAATCGCACATTTCTACGGAATCCCGTTGCACACGACCAGGCGTCGTAGATATTGACGTCGTCCACGATGCCCTGAAGGTGCCAAACGCAGAGGAGGACAGCAATGTAAAACGGAAGCGACTGTGAGACCATCAAACCAGAGACAAGTATTCCAAGACCCACAGGAAAAACCATGGCCATGAGAATATGCTTGCGATCCCCAATAAGGATAGCAGAGCTCTTCACCCCACACTTCTTATCGTCATTTATGTCCTGATAAGCATAGATCGTGTCGTACAAAATGGTCCACACAACAGAGGCAAAATAAATGGGCAAGGTCACAGCAAGATCCACACGATTTAACACCGCAGCATACCCCACAAATATACCCCAATTGAAGCATAACCCAAGAAATAGCTGAGGCATGTATGTGATGCGCTTCATAAATGGATAAATAAGCACCAACGGGGTAATAGATAAAGCAGCCAAAAGGGCAGTCGGAGACAAATTCATTGCAATTACAAGAGCCAATCCAAGAGTTGTGACGAGAACAGCAGAAACCTCGGTCATGCCCATCGTTCCAGAGGCCAAGGGGCGTGTTTTGGTGCGCTCCACCATGCGGTCAAATTTCCTGTCCCACATATCGTTGACAATACAACCAGCACTTCGCATCAAAAATGCTCCTGCCGCGAAAAACACGGCAAGATGCACCGGCACAAAGGGGGCGCATAGAGCCACTGGATCGGCCCCTTCCCACACAATCGCCCGTGTGACGGCAAGACTGGAACCCCAATAGCACGGTAGTAATAAAAGGAATGTTCCGACGGGCTTATCAGCACGTATCAATTGGCACCACAGTTTCACCTTACGCGTGACCCATTCAATGTGTTTCGGCACCTTGCGGCCGCTGCCACTGGAAGCGTCATCGAGGCTCCATTGACGCTGTTCCTTCGCGGAGCATGTTGCACTGCGCTGTGCAGCAGGATCGACCCTCACGGCGTCAGGGAAGTGGGCCGAGGCCGAGGCGATGGAGCCAGTTGTCCATGAGCGTGTTACTTTGCGGAACAAAAACGCCCGCCGCAGCATCCTTCAAAGTCCTCTTTGTGTAATATATATATATATATATATATATATAATTCTGCTCCTTCAGACTTACACACACAACAGCAACAAAAACAACAACAGTGCAAAACAGGATATAACTGATCCTCTCCGCACGCTTAAGCTTTTGTTGTCCCATTCTCGCCTCCCAAGTTCCTTTTCTGCATTCATTTGCACGAACCCATATGCATTTGCGCCACTCCATGTAAATGGAATACCCCAACACAGGCACAGACGCACACACCCACCCACCCACCCACCCCTACAGGCACATAAAGAGAGCCGTAAATACACGCAAGTTATTCCAACCGCTTCTCTTCCTCGCTAATTTCATCTCCGTTTTTAACTAACAGCCTAGTTGGAGCGAGACCATAACCTGGGAGATTCTCGTGCCTTTTAATTCTGTTGCTCTACCGCCTATTCTTTTAAGAATTCCATAAAAACATTCTTGTTTTCCTGCGGTGTTGTTGTCGGACGACCCAAATCCGGCCGATTGCCCTTTCTCACAAGAATTTCCAATAATGCTGGGCCCGGGGCTTGCCTCAGCTCAGACATTGCCCTCACCAGCTCGCCCAGGTCCATCACCGGCTCATCGCGAATGACTGTAAACCCACACGCCTTCGCTACTTGTGTGATAGACACATCAAATGCGGCGGTAGGTTGTCCTCCCACTGAATCGTGGGCACCGTTGTTAATTACCACATGCTTGTAGTTGTGTAGAACGCGCGAAGAATCCTTTCCGCTTACAGGGTGAGCAGCGGCAGCTCCACCAAGGACAGCAAGTGATCCCATGTGCATTATGGTAGCACCATCACCATCAAGGCAAAAGACCTGCTTCTCTGGCTTTGCTAGCGCAATACCTGCCGCTATTGAAGAGCAGTGCCCCATGCAACCGACAGTAAGAAAATCATGAGCGTGTCCCATTCCACTACGCTCACGGATCTCAAAGAGCTCACGTGAGGGCATTCCCGTTGTGCTCACCACGACATCGCTCGAGTCAAGTTGCCGCAGTACCTGCTCAATTGCTTCCTCACGGGACATTGGAAGTCTTTTCAAATCATCACCGTGGCTCGAAAGTTGGTATTTGCTGAACAACCCTGGACGCACCAAAAGGGCGTAAGGTGAACCAGCGGAACGCATATGGCTCAAGGCAGCATCTAGACCTAATTGCATTGACGCCTCCACATCATCGCAATCGGGTGCCAAAACAGAGAAAGGTACTTCCAAGGCACGCAAGAGGTCTTCACTCAAACGTCCTTGTGCCACATGTTGCGGCTCGTCCTTGACACCCGGGGCACCGCGCCAGCCCACCACCATCAAAAGCGGAATACGGTAGACCTCAGCGTGTGTAAGACTGAGAAGTGGGTTTACGGCGTTACCAAGCCCACTGTTCTGCATATACACCAGAGGGAATTCCCCAGTTGCCAGGTGATGACCAGCAGCCATTGCCACAGCGTTACCCTCGTTTGCTGTTATGACATGCTCGCGCGGTTGGGTGTGGTCCGTGACGAAGGCGCAAAAGTCCTTCAAGAGGGAATCGGGAACGCCGAAAAAGCCTGTTACTCCACGCTGTCGGAGAGCCCTGTAGAAAACTTCCGGTGCCAACTTACCCATTAAAACGACAAGCGTGACACCAAGGTACACCTCAGCAAGTACACTAGCGACGGCAGCAATGAGAGAAGAGGGTAACGTGCGCCTGAATGAGATCTCGCGCCACAATCTCAGAAGAAGGGGGCATCACGCAAGAAAGTGGGAGATTACTTAATGTTTCAGTGCAGCCAGCATTCACAAATTTTAATCGGAGTGTGTTACGACTCGCGCGCAGCCACAATCAAAGGAATTCAAACGAGAGTCCGGTTGCCATCGTGGAGGGCGTTCATACCAGCAGCGAGTTAAGGGGGGATGAAAATGAAATAAAAACCGCACCAGCGCTGCCTCTCAACACGGTATCGTTGGGTAAAAACAAGGAACAACAACAACAACCAATCAACAAAGAAAACAGAGGAGCTCTAGAAAAAATGCTTTCAGCTACTGAGCTCCATCCGGTCGTACATTCTGCCACAAGCTTCCAATTTATTTCGGGCGCCTCGAGGGAGGAGCTCAACAAAGAGGCAAAGCACACACGCACGCGCACGCAAATACGATAATCGCCTGACCGAAGGGGAACCCACGGGCCAAGAACAACCCCTCATCAACCACCTTCACTTCACTTTCCACGCCTCACGTCCCAAGGCTATTTCATAACGAATCCGCACCCTCTGCACACTTTAGGAGAAATGCCGCCACGTCCTGTGGATGGCGACACTGCCCACCCAATAGAAGAAGTCCTTGACGAGTTTCTACCATCACAGGTGTGTAACGCCAGTGTGGGCCCTCGGTGCACCTCAAAGTTGGCTCCACTAGGTGCAACTGAAGTGAACCTTCCCCTGATTTGCACCAACGCACCTGTTTCACCTTGTCACATCCTTCGGCGGCATCCTTGCCACCAAAAAACAAGGCACTCGTTTCCTCGCCGCCGCGCAAGAGGGCTCCTGCATGACCATTGGACCGTGGAAAAACAAACTCCACACCAGCACCACTCCCTTGTAACTGCGTCCACACAGAAGCAGAGGAGAGTTCACAGGACCAAACGTCGTTAAGACTTTTAATGTCACCACTCACGAAATGCGCCCCTCCGTAAATTACACAGACTTGAGGGGAAACAAATAAAAGGGGGCCAGCAAGAAGACGAGGAGGCGGAACAGGAGACTCAGTCTTGATGCGTGTCCATACGAGCGTGGTGACATCTAACATGTACATGTCATTGGTCTGTTCTGCGTCGTCTGTCTCGCCTCCGAATACAAGAAGATGGGCTGCCGTTCCACCTGCCGAGTGGTGAGTGCGTGGAGGAGGAAGATTTCCCGTGGTCTGCAGAGCCTCCACCGCGAGCGAAGGAGATCCCTTCGCAAAGTTCAGCCCAACTTGCAGAAGGCGGTTGCACAGATTCATGTCCGCATCTAGCCCACCAAACATGTACGCCGCAGGGGCGTTCCCAACCCGCGTCAAGGATGCGCCGTCGCACTCTAAGCAGGGTAGGTGGTCGGCAACGGTTATCCAGCAAAGGACCGGCAGCTGAGAGACTTTGCTTACCATGGCGCTTCCATCGCGTTCCCCTTCGCAATAACCGCCAACGCACATTACCCACTCCTCTCCGGTTGCTGGATCTAACAGACATGTCGCACAGTGGCCTTCGCGAAAGCCCAACCTCCCCGCCTGCTCTTCACATGGAATCCATTCCATGAGCCTCGCTCCACACCTCCCGATCTTTTTATTCCTCCGCTTCAATCCTTCACTCTCCTTCTTGTTCTGTGGGAGGGGAAAGCGAGAGTGAAACCAGTCATACGTATTTGCTTATATATATATACATATACATATAT